AGAGCTGTAGAGCTGTAGAAAGCTGTAGAGCTGTAGAGAGCTGTAGAGAGCTGTAGAGTTGTAGAGCTGTAGAGAGCTGTAGAGCTGTAGAGAGCTGTAGAGCGCTGTAGAGCTGAAAACCACAATCCAAACGAGTAAAGAAGTTTTATGGATATAGTTTTAAGAACATGTAAAATATTTAATGAGATAAAAAAAGAACTAACATTGTTGCCGTCTTAACAGATTGTAAAGTTTAGCGTACTCAAAGTGAGAACAAACTATCCATACAATTGGTTTTGTCCTTAAACAAGTTTGATCGATCGAAACCTTAAACTCCGGCTGCAGTTAAAGCAAGACAGTCTTGTTCTGTTTTCGTCTAATTATATGAAGTGAAACTCGTGCAGCTGGGGGGTTAACTGTCTTCATGTCCCCTCGCCGGTCATGTGTTGGCATCAGTTTGTGGTGTGATGCATTACTCAGATGGGATGGTTCTTAGCTTGCAGGATGCGGTCATTACATGGTGATGTTGAAACGCTGAGGGAGTAGATTGTGTCCTAAGTCTGCTTGACTCAGCCACAATCTGTTTATATGCTTCAATAGCTGTATTATGTATTTGTAAAGGATTAGTGCAGCTTTGCACCACCCTTAGTGCCTGTTGTGCAACATATTTCTTCAGGTTTTATCAGCTTGCGTTTCCTGTCGGAAATAAAGTGTTGCAGATGTTTGCTGCTAAACAGATACAGTGTCATTACACTCGAAGTAACGCTCCTAAAGAAAGGTGTTGCTCAGAGACTTGATGAAAAGCACATTTTGCTTCTTCTTCTTTTCAGTTTCCTTTTAAATGGGCACTTTCTGGTTTCTCCACAATGATCAAACTTTCCTCTATAACCTTTATTCCTTCTTTTTGACTTCCTCAAATCCACTGCCAAGAACCCTTCTTTCTTTCCTGGTCATTGAACCTTTCACACAGCAGCCCAAAACTGAATGTAGCGTTGATCTTTGCTGGGAAGAAGCAGCAATTAACTGTAAAAGAAGGGGCAGTGTCTGGAAAAGGGATTATCTGAGCCTCATGGCTTTATGTGACTTTATTATTGACCTACATTAGCTGCTCGTGCTCCACTTCTTTCACACATATTTCATCGCATTATTCTGATTATCTGTGTCGTCTGTGTTTTAATACCATAAACAAGCAGGGTTAACGTTACAAAGTGGCAGATGTGACAAATGAGAGCATCATGCGCTCACCCAGATGGTCTCGGTGTCATGTACACAATAGTTTTGATGCCAAACCTCATCTTAGAAAAATGTTGTACAGTAGTCCCTCATTTATCACGGGTGTTACTGTTCTCAGTCCCGCCGCGATAAGTGGAAAACTTCAAAGTAGGAAAGTACAAGTAGAGGTTTTATTTTAGTGTGTGTGTGTGTGTGTGTGTGTGTGTGTGTGTGTGT